TTTTTTTTATTGTTTTTTTTTCTTCAATTTTAATTTTATTTTCAATAAAAGAGTTGAAAATATTCAGATTGTGTATAGTTCAATTGTTGCTGAATCGTCTTTATTTCTTGCTATAAAGCGTACCGAAATTATGCCCAAAATGTCACACTGTTAGCGCCACGACGGAATTCAATGTAATCTACACTAAGTTGCCGCCAAATAGTGAAAAGACTTTTGCTCAGTTGCAACCAACAGACTAGAACTCCATAGTTGTCCGTAGTGGCGCTAGCAGTGCTACAGTTTTGCATTTTATACAGTCTCTTATGGAGCATAATTTCTGTGTGCTATAAAGTCATGCCATTTAGCAAATAGAACATTATAAAAGAATGTATAAAAGTATTTTGTGAGATAAATAAATAGTATTCCGTATATTCGTTATACTCATTCATTTGATTTAATCGACTTATCAAAGTGAATTGAGATCGCAAATTAGTAGTATGGATGAAATAGAGTGTACCTTATGTAGAAAATAATCTGAATGAGTCGCGAAAAAAAGAAGCTAAAAACGGAACGAAATTTTGCACTTGAAACAGATTTATCATCGTTTCTTATTTTCATATTGGTGGTGCCTCTCACGCCGCTCCCTTCTTATTCTGTTCGGCCGAACATAAAGGTGATGCTAACGGGAATTCATGATAAATAATCTCTATTAAAAGTTTTCTACTCGAAAGAAGTAATTGCCATGGCCAGATGAACCGAGAAAATCTTGTTTCTGATTTTGCTGGTCACATAGCTGATCTCAAGCGGTATGTTGAATGAAAAAAAAAAACATATAAACGCACACACAAAAGCGCACCACAAAAATGAATATTGACCGACGAGAGATAAAAATTGATAAAAGAAATGGTAACGAAATCATTAAAAGTTTTTCACATTTTATTCGTGGTAAGTATGTCTTTTGTGTCCATTTCCTTCAAGTCGGGCACACGTTTCAGCTTTTATCGCATGAATGTGGCAGGAAATTGCCAAAAGTGAACACTAAATCAAGATATACTATTATATTACAGAAAGTGAATTATTTGGGCTATCTGTCCTACTTTTTTCCGCGTAATTCTCTTCCTCAATCTCTCACTTTCATTCTATTTTAATTTCTCCAGAGTTTGAACGATACGGCGACGGAAAATCAGGACAAACATTTGAATATCTACTTTCTTCATTTTATCTTCTAATCAACATTCTGCGAATCGATATAAACTCACCGATCTGTAAAGATTCATTAAATGCTAAAACTGTTCGATTTGAGGAATAAGTTAGTTGCTTGTTTTTTTCTCATCTGCTTTTTCTGATATATAATTCTCGGAAAATGTTCTATTTGCGTGTGTTCGCTCGCCATTTACGTCAACGAAATGAACCGTGATTTTGATACTTAGTTGGCATACAAAAATTTGAATAATACATTTCATTTACTTTCAAATCTCTCTCTTTCTCTCTGAAACACTGAATTTTAAGGTAAAGAATTTGATGTTTTGTTTGTATTACAGTCATCTTGGACATACTTCGAATACATCTAACGAGAATATAACTCATTTTCGTGATATTGAGAAACTGATGACATGAAATTATTCAAGATGCCAATCTATTCATTTGAGTGGTTCGATGTCTTGAAAACGTTACTGCTAATTTGGAATCATGTATAAATCTGGGCGAATGCATCTATTTTTGGAAGCAAAAGAGCTTTTTTAGTTTAAAACAACAGGCCAAAGGACACGATTTTGTGTTTCCCATTTCAGTTTCCATAATGTTTATTCTTCAAAAGACGAAATCAGGGCATATTAACCCACATCCTTAAGATATTATTGATGTAATATTCTCCGGGCTGATGTCAAAATGCGTTAATCTGGGTGAATGTCATACGTCAATCCAAAACTCGAAACGGTGTTACTATACAGAAAAGGTGACACTGAAAACACACATACACGTCTAAAAAAATAACAAAAACATATTTCAAACGTATTATCAGTTAATCAAGGCGGCGACGATAGAGGCTTGCAATTTTTTATCACCTCAGTAAATCCCAAACGGATAGCAAACAAAAATTGTCGAGCATAAAATACCACTACTGCATTGCAGCTGGTATAAGTAGTAACAAAGAAAACCCAACTGTGGCGTATACACAATTTTTTAAAATATGTTTTGAAAAATGTTGTTGTCGGTCGATTAATGTTTCCGATATTACAAAGAGAGAAATTGAAAAAGTCTCGACTTGCTTACGAAAGTGACTTTGTGAAAAGAGCAAACGACTGATTCAACCGAGATATGCATGAGTTCCGATTTGATGATGGAACAGATAGCGAACACTGTGCGCCCCGGTTTTTTTCTTCTTCTTTACATTTTCAATTCACTGGAAAAATATGAAATGTTCAAAGGCGGTTATATCGTCGGATGACGAATGTAAATAAATAAATATCATACACAACGACGCTCATGCAATTGTGCTAAAAGGTGAGCGAAAGAATAAATAATAGATCTGACAAGAAAAGCAAGAGAGAGAGAGAGAGCAAATGTATCTGTTGTGCCAGAGCAATATTACAAAAGTAAAATATAGAATACTTTCATTTCCTGAATGTGTTTGTTCACCAAATGTGTCTTTTTGTTGTAAAATTAAGCTTCCGTTCGCGCCAAAATGAATGAATCGTGTATGTCACATGATTCATTTTTATTCCATTTCATTTGATTTGGTATTGTTGCCGAACAAACAACTATACACACAAACAATTTTTATCTCGATTGAAAAATGATTTTCAGCCATTTTCCACAGGCACACACAATTCATTAAATGGTAGCGACCCACATTTATTGCTATAAGCATCAAACGATTCATGTCATTTGCCAGAACTTTAACAAGTTTGAATACAAAAAAGAAAAGAGAGAAGCAAACGAACGAAAACAGAATCATGAATCAATTTGGAACAACAACAAAAAAAAAAAACACAATGTATCAATATTATTCAACAAATAGATCAATCTCTCGCCACATTGAGACGCGAATACTGTGATTTTGAAGTGTGAATGAAGCGTCAGCGTGTTAGTGAATGAACAAGCGAGCAAAAAGTTGATTACAAACTGGATTCATCATTGTTTGATGGTTTGCATCATCGGGTGTCTGTTTCTCTTTTTAGTTCAGTCAAACTGCCAAAATTCATTACTGTAAATTCTGTTGTGTCTGAGCCACCTATGGAGAGGGAGAGAATGAAGAGATCTGTTACGCTTTTTAGTCAGTCTACACAAATGCTTTCACTTCCCTGCTTTTGGCTGTTGCGTTTTTTTCCACAGTCATTGTCTTTTTTTACTGGCGCTCTGTCTCCAGTTTGAATCAATCTGGAATTTTTCGGAGATTCAGCGAAGCTTAGAAGATGACAATGATGAAACGTAATCAGTGAATTGGTTGGAGCAAAAATAAGAAACAGCCGACTCAGACCGAAAATCATTTGACAAGATTACTTTTGATGAAATTCATTTATAGACGATTCATTGTCTCTGTGGTTTTCTCCCTTCGCAAAACGCCACTTCGATTGAATAATCAAGATAATAAAAATAAAAAAGGGGACACCAATTTATTGTGTTTTTTCGGCATATTTTGTGAATATTATGTGGTTTTTTTTGCAAATCCATTGATCCATCAAACTTACTAATACGCTCACTTAAACCAACAGACTAGCGCCGATGTGTTGCTGCCAGACACAAGAGGTCATTGTTATTATATACATTGAATAAACGTCGAACAAAAACGCAAGAAATGCCAGATGGAATCAAATAATCAATGGAAAACAAATGAAAAATGGAAATGTTGTTATTTATTGCACTTGCGTGGAAAATCAACGAAAAGAATTACATTTGGTTTTAATCACTTGCCACGCTCTGCTCGCACTCCATTTAAAGCAATGTATTGGGTTTCGAACACGCAGATGTGCTGCCACCTGGTATCTCAAAGTTAAGCTGCTATAAAGCACATGCTTCTTGCAAATGAAGAAGAAGAGGAAAGCAATGTCTTTACATAGGGTTGAACTTATAAATGTCAGAGAGCAGCACAACTGCAGTATTAAAAGTGCGATTGCCCTTCGTCACTTGCATACAATTTGATACAATATTTTTTCTGTGATCGTTTTGATCTATTGTTCAGCGCAGGCAGCTTGCGACGATACAGTTGTCTTTATTAAGTTGGACATTCAATTTATTTTGTGATTCTTCAATAATTCAAATATAATGATTTGTACAATTCCCTCAATTCGATTGGGAAAAAAATGATGTGCTCATAGAACAAATTATGTCAACCATCAAAAACAGAAAACGATAATTGAATCTCAGACCTCATAAATATTTCATACTGAAAAGTATTTCAATTTTTTTACATTTTTCGCGTTCGAAAAAGATAGAGAGCGTCATTTTAATCGATTTATTTTTTGTTGCCCATCATAATGGAAAATGAATTCTCGGATTTCACGTCTTCCGGCTTTATTAATACATTTCAATAGGCAAAAAAGCGGCGAAACGAACATTTCAAACGACGCGCACATTGAGTGAAATGTGCTGGAAAAGCCAGAAACGTATCGCTGTATAATTTATTAAGAAGTTTCAAAATTGAAATGAAATGTGCTTAAAAAATTGAGAGAGAATCATCCCTCACCTAAATGAATAATTTATACAAATTCCAGTTCGCATTTTCCCACACTTCCACGTGTCTAACTTTTTACGGCAATTTGGACCGCGATTTTATTTATTAGGCGAAATGTACGCAAAGCAATTCGAAACAAGCGAAAAAAAGAAAGAGAGAGAGAGAGAGGAAGGGAAATTATGAAGTTCATTTCAGATTTTGGGTCAGTATATTTTAATTTAATTTAATTTTGATGTGAAAGCATGAAATCATGGTAAATGATGGGATAAAAGGAAGAAATTTTCTTTAAATTGAGTCACGTGACATTTTTGCCATTAAAATTCAATGGATTCGAAGAAGAAAAAAACGATTTCAAGTCAAAAGATGTTATAAATACGTGTATTTAAAATAAATAACATTTTAAAATCTATCACAACTAAAAATTTACAGCGATAAAAACGTTTCCGAATTTTTTGGATAAAGATCAGATCAGGATAGAATGGAAGTAAATCGACACAGAGATTTACCAACATCCTTGCATAACGCTCAACTGTTGAATGGCTCCACATCCGACGGTATTTTGCAGGAAATCGGGAAAGTTACTTTCGAGGACACGCATTCGACTGTAATTATAATCGGCAAGAGCGTGTGTTGCCAGTTGGCATGTTTGACAGCGATAAACAACTTTGAAATTGGATTCATTAAATTGTTGATTCGTATCCCATCGATATACTTCTGATTGTCCTTCGTAGCGGAAGAACATAGCTGCACCATTATCCGTTCCAATAATAACTTGTTTGTTTGGTTTGTTGCCCACATCTATAAATTCAACGAAGCGAAAAAGAGAGCAAGGAAGAGGGAGAGAAGTTATATTAATAACGGGAGAAAAAAACATGAAAAAAGATTTGTGATTATAAGCATTATAATTTGAAGAGAGGCATGGGGTTTGGTTATTTTGTAGCTTTGAAGTTGATGATGTTCAAGTGTTTGCAATTCATATACTCACCAGTGATACGTCCTTGGATGTTGCCACTTCGCAGGTACTCCGTATTGATGACAAATAGTTGTTTTGAGCTTAAATAAGTGAAATAAAGCGATGAAGTGCCATTGAGACGGTTGATGAGTGCTAAATAGAGAACGTCACGTTTCGGGCAACCGTTGGTCACTGCTTTCGGTAGAACGATACGAAAACCACGCGATGCTTGTACATCGTAGACAAGAATTGATCGTTGTGCAGCATCGCTTATATAAATAAAGCAACGATTTTCTGATTTATAATCAATGGCCAAGTACTGTAGACGTGATGTGGGCGCAACTAATTTTTCTAATGAAATTGTTTTCAATACTTTGCCCGTTTTTGTGCTGATTGCAAGTACTTTTGGCGGACAACGACGAACTGGCGTTTCCAATGTATTAACCACACCAACATCCAATGCCCATAAAATATTATTACGATCAGCAACAATATCGACGACCGATTGCAACGATTGACAATTTCCTTCTTCTTGCATACTCCAACATGGAAATGGTGATAGTGTGGCGGCACATGAACCTTTTTTAAATCCAGTACGCGCTAATGTGGCTGGTACACCCGATTTGTATCGTGGCAATGCTACATATACATTATCGCCAATGATTTGAGCTCTTGTTGCAATTATATTTTTACTTATATATTTGCCAGAGCTTTTGTACAACGATTTTGTTTGCGAACATGGCCATTCAAATGTGCCACCGGTCCATTCAACGCACGGTTCGGTCGATCGTTCTTCCGGATACTTGATTGGCACTGCACCATATTGCGTTGGCACAATGCACGAGCAACGTACAATTAAAATTGTCACAACAAATGCTAAACGCATCATCTGGTTTTTGGAAAGAGAGAAAACAAGAGAAAATAATGAAACCAATTGCAAACGTTATTAGAAGAGCAAAACTTAAGTAATCCTCACACACACACACAATCAATTGACAAAATGAAAACACAACAAACGTTAATTGAAATGCTTTGCAGTGATAAATGTGAGCAATTTCATTGAAGCACAAATTCATATGTCATTCCACTACATACAATTGAGAGCGCTTGTGCTGTGCACAAGTGCAAGATTCTAAACAAGATTGAGAGAGTAGTAAAGGGGGCAGGAACAGATGCAAATGACCAATAATTGGGTGAAGTGTATCAGTTCTTCGCATAAACACACACACACTTACTCACATTCTGCGGGAAAAGTGAGAACGACTCTATGAGATTTTTCGCATAGAAACCTGAATTTTATGCGGTGTTTAAATGCAATGTCCCTGAAATCATAATTCGCTAAAATAATTTTCGTGTACATATCTTCAGTAAAAACAATTAAAAACACTTTTCACTTTGTTCTAGATTCATTTTATTGTCCTTCATTATGATATGGATTAATTGCTTCACTAGTTCAATCTTTTTTGTCACTCTCTCTCTCTCTCTCTCTCTCTCTCTCTGCATATACGATCTATCTTTCTGCCTTTCACTTCTCTCCATGCCGCGTATACATATCACCAGTTCAGAATAATCTGCGTATTACTGTTTTTCTAAAGCTAAAACACATGTACTTTGTGTATTCATCAACACGGTTTCGAAACTCATGAGAGAGAAAAAAACAAGAAGAAGCATGTTGAACACAAGAAATGAACAACTGCATAAAATCTCAAACTCTGAATGTATCGCAGAATGTAATGTGAAAATTTTCTAGAAAATTTATTACCTTTATTATTGTTCTGATATTCCAGTTGTTGTATATTCGCTATTTTCAAAGTTTTTGCGTTGATTTTCTCATAAACCCACACAAACTATCTCGCGCATTCAAAAACCACCTCACTATATTTCTAAAATAAATGTTCACGCACGAACTTACAATTTTCAAATGGATTCGTAGCGCAAGTTGTTTAATTAAAATTTTAGCAACAAGAGCAAAAAATCTCACAATGATTTGAACGAATTGGAAAAATGGCCGTCTTTTTAATGGCACAACGCTAGTGCTAATGTCCCGTTAACAAAAATGTGTGCAATTTTCGTCGCGGCAATATTATAAATGATTATAGTTCGTCGGATGATTTATTTGGTTCTTTTTATATCATCTACACAGCTCGTAGCAACTCAATGTTGTTGATGAGCTCAAGTGGTGGAAATTAAAACAAAATGAGAGCATTTAAAATCAACAAAACAATTTACAAATTATACAAATAAAATTCCAAGAAGACGAGAAAGAGAAACAAACTTTAGCGCACGCTCAAGTGCTCTCACTCCAGATGCTGTCGATAATTTTGCCGTGTCCAAAATGAATTGCAAATTGTTTACATTTTATGAATGACCTGATCAATCTCACTCTCTCGCCTGTCCATTATTTCATTTCTGCCAAAAAGCAAACATAATTTCATCATGGAAATTTATAAAGTCACACAAATGAAGCATAAACGATAAACAGATGAATGATGAACTAAGAAGAAGATGATGAAGGAGATGAACATGATGAAAAACATACGCAACAAGTAATAGAGAAAAGAATTACGACGATAACGATGAATGTTGACGATGATGAAGGTGCACTTTGCCGCGTATATGCTACCAGCTTTTGTGGCTGCTATGTTATTGTAATCGAATTGTGCAGGTCACTTATGGTTTTTTGTTTTCTTTTTGGAAATTGTTTATAAATAGAATTTGCGGGCAACGAAATGAGCACAATAAGAAACGAAGCAAAAATTTTGAGTACGGTGTGGTTATGAGCGTTTATTTTTATGCTGACCTTTGCAAAAAGAAGAAAAGAAAAAAATATTTTTATTGTATATTTGTTAGCTCAATTTAGTATGTTGATATGTACTACATGTGTGTGAGTGGTATGTATTCGGTATCAAATTCCAAACTGCAGTCGAATTGTGTACGTGCATTTCGCATAATTTGATATTAGAATGACGCATGTTACACATATTTTTTTGTATGTACATCAAAACAATACAAAGAAAATGGCTTTTTTGGCTACAATATAAATATTTATATTGTCTCTCTTCCAATCTCTCTCGTTCTCTTTCCCTTTCCATCCATATTCGTTGCGGCGCTGTTCTTTTCCATATTTTCCAATTTATTTGCCATGTTTGCGAGAGATTCGGCTTCATTCATAATATCAGGTTGCTATTGATTCGGTCGGTCGGTCGGTCGTCTGATGCATTGAATAATGGCTGCTCTGAAGCACATCATCAAAAATGATTTCGTTTCACAATTTACGAATTGGTTTTCGTCTCTCTTCCTTTCTCCAACTCAGTCGCAAAACAATTCAAATCTCTTCTATGTCGAAATCAAACATGGAACTATCAGATAATCTAGAAAAGGCCACAAATCAAACAATTGTCAAAAAATGTCATCGATCTACCAAAAAGCGCACCTAAAAAAAATGTTTTATTTGTGTAGCTCTCTCGTGTGCCATAAGAGTCCTATGATTATATTTTTATTTGTTTTTTAGCCACTTTGATTTTCACATTCCAAGTGATTCTTGTACGGGATTTTTCTTTTCGAGTGTGCGTTTTATTACCAAGCTGTATTGTTTACGGAATGAAAGAATTCAGATGGATAGAGAGAGAGAGAGAGAGAGAGAGAGAGAGAGAGAGAGAAAGACACAAAAGCACGATACAATAGAACCGAAAGTGTGAGAGTTCGAGCTGGAGAATGAGAAAGGAATCAACGCAATTCAACTTAATATGATTTGTACTGTCTTTTTCTTCGTTCTGATAGCTTCGTTGGGATGAAGATGTTTGCAAAAATCGAAATGAAATTGGCTATATCCATGTGTCGCGTGCGGCACTGTGTGTATTTGTTGTCAGAATATGGATGGATTGTGTTTTTATTTACATTCGTTTTTGTCGTTGTTTTGTGGTTGCGTCAAATCGGCACTTTTTTTGTTCTTTTTTTTCCTATGCCATCTTTTGCCAACATCATTGTTGCGAATACGTTAGTGAGAATTACCTAAATTAGCTTTTTTCTGTTGTATGAAATTTGTCGATTAAGCAGAGTAGTAAAATCTGTTAAGATCATAAAATAGTTCATCGCATTTTAGTCGGTAATAATGGTTTTAAATGCTTATTTGTGGGGAATTTTGTTGTTGTTGATGGAACCATGCGCTTTCCACGCAAATACTGTAAAAAGAGATGCAATGGAGCATGTAACAGTGAATGAATGTATGGCGCACATAAAACATGAATAAATGAACATCAATAAAAGCCATACACATTCTGATCAGAAACAAAATATCGTTATAATAGTGGCAACCTTCTTGACATAATCTTAGACATGCCACAACCGTAAATCCAATAAACGAAAAGCGCACAATCGAAGAATGGCTGCTCGCATTTTGTGAGCCTATTACGTGAGCTCTACATTCAACATTCAGTTTGCATTGTCTATGAGCAAGGTCAAAGCAAAATAATAACAACTTCTCAGAAGATGTTCAATGCAAATAAAGCAATCAAATTGAAGCTTATCATTGAAAATATATCAAATGTATGCTGTTAGAAAACGAAAAATAATAACAACGCGACCCATGCACAAGCGCGACTCAATAATCCTCGAATGCCGTGCACTAATTTACTCAAGATATTACATTTCACGAAGGTTGTGATTACAATTGGGTTTTATGAAAAAGTGATAAGTCACGAATGGATTAAATGAATAAATTTAATTAAAGTCTGACAGAAGATTTGATTTGTGGTTCTGATTGCAGATTTCAACGAATTGATGCATGAAAATGAAACCATTAGTCGAACTATTATTTATTCAGTTATAGGCATACATACAATCATTCACAGCAGTAATGAACGGAGGCATACATTTTCGTCGAGCATCTAATTGGGCCTTTCGATTTATACTTGGCGACCAAATTACACAATTAGCGATACAATGAGACTCGATTATCCATTTCTGAAATTGCAACACGCTTGCAGAATTCACCAAGGAATTGTTATCTTTTACAAAATACGGTCAGTTGAGGTCAATACGAAGTGGCATGATATTGTTTCAAAACTCAACAACAACGTTAATCCTTTCGATTTTAATCGCGGTAAAACCGATTTATATAATCATATTGATGCAGCATTTTATCCATTTCGTCGGAAATTCGAACATTCTATATCATTTATAAACGATTACAAAACCAAAACACATGTATTTATATTCAATGCGACACAATTTGTGCACAAAACACAACAATCTACAGTCGGCAAGAGACAAAAATCAATCGAGTTATGTGAATTTGGTGAGGCACAACACCGCCATATCCACTTCGTATAGAATCAAATGACTCCATAACAGCTTACATAAACTACAAGCACTGGCTCAAACAAGCTAATTGGTAAATATTATCATTTCATTAATATTGCGTATAAAATTGGATTTTACATAAATACTGAAAATTATGAATAGAATGACAGAAATGAAATATTATTGATTCAAAATGAAAAGCTATGATCAATTACATTCTATTTTGCAGAATATCCGGAATCTTAATTGAGAAAATCGAATACATGTTTCAATTAAAATTCATAAATAGTTCAGTTTCCACGAAACAATATTAATTCCATAAGCTATTCCATTCAATAGAAATTAAAAATCAGCATCAATTTGAATAGAAATTTGAATTGTTCGTGGTCAAAATATTTGTTGGTAGTGCAAATGCAAATTTAATTTCTAAATGAGGTTAGCTTTTTCGAAAGATTCGAATTTTGCCGCAGAAAAGAGAACGAAAATGCATTTCATAGTTATATTTTGAAAACAATGGCGTCGAAAAGAAAGGCGACACAAATCTAAAGCAGAAAAGGGAACACAAGTGGACAGGACGATCGCATACATCACAATATAAATACGAAGTACGAACTCGAACCAAAGATGATATGCTGATTTTCCTTGTTATTTTCTTGTTTATATTTTGTCATTTTATCGTATGCCAATATTATGTGTAAGCGCATAAGTGAATTGTATACCCAAAACATGATTTTCACTTTGAGATTTGTATTCTAGTATATTGAAATAGACAGACAGAATGAGTGAACGAGCATACAATACGAACATATTCAGAAAGCCAAAGCCAAACACAATTAATTATAATCAAGAGACTGGATTAATACACTCCATTCGGAATATCTATACATTACACATATCAGGGCTATTCTCCATCATTGAATGGGATTCGATTCATCTAAATGTTTGCCATCTAAATATGTATTTCGTCGTTTTGCACACATTACCGCAAATAATACTATGATGGATCTGATGAACGCACGAATGAGGCGCCCGATTTTCCTTCATTCGGTTCGTTCAAGCTTTTACGAACGCTTCTGATTGTGTATTCGTTAAATGCGTACAATTCTTTTAATGGTGATGATGAATATATCGAAAAATTCAGTAGCAGACAGAACATATGGCCGGAAACATTTTAATTGTATTTGTTCGGATTTAATTAATTCCATCTTAGAACAAACACATGATTATCAAAGTTTTATGGGCATGAGTATTACAAGAAAATTAAATAAAAGGGGTTTCATTTTTTTTCCTTACTCCCGTTCTTTCGTTTGACGAAAAGAAGAAGAAGTAAACACGATAAAATGTTGGAAGAGTCTTTTCTCCTCTACTTGGATTAACTTTGTGCTCTCCGCACATTTATTTTTTAAATATTGATGAGATTGGCAAGATATGCACAAGTAGCCATCGAATAAAAGATGATAGGATCTCACGCCATTTTGTGAGCTCAGAAATATCAACATCAAAACTCAACGCAATAAAGAGCTCGTAAGCACATGTTGTTGCATCGAGTATGTAAACAATTTGATTGGATATATGTGTTTTCAAGTGTGTGGATTTTTTTAGCTCAAAGTTAAACCATATAAATATTCTCTGTGCGAGAGTGAGTGTGTGTGTGCGCGCCTTTTGATCAACGTCCCGCTACTTAAATCGCACATACATATTTACAAATTTGTTCTGATGAATACGCTTACATTCTGGTCGATCCATTTGCCACTTTGTTTTATTCCCTTATAATGAGCGTTTT